AGTTACTTGGCTTCACTCCTAAATCGAGTGTCACACCCTTGGAGGCGGAGGTGGTGCCGGTCGAGGTCTAGGTGGAGGTGACGATCTTGAAGGCGGAGGTGGTGGTGGTGGAGGTGCTGGTGGCGGCGCAAGTGCAGATGAAACCGATGAAACCACCAATATACTCACGTAATTTTATTCCGTGATTTTAGGCAACGAATCAGTAATCTCATATTACGTAGTTAAGGAAATAAATGCCGTTCAAAAATAAAGCAGGGGTATTAAAGGGAAATTAAATAATATATTGTGCCAAGTTGGCATATTTGGGTGTATATCAAAAAGGGAAAAATTAATTGGATCTACCTCATTAAAAAATATGAACAATGGGGTTATCCCTAATAAACCCTTTATATATATATATATATATATATATATATATATATATATATATATATATATATATATATTCGATCTGATTTTCATTTTAAAAAATTGCACTAATTATAACTATTTAAAATCTGCCAATTCCAATCTGTAAACTTTTTGATACTGAAACAATTTTTTTTACTACAATTTTGGAATCTTGATATCAAATTTTTGGAACGAAAATTGTAATTTGTTTTTCACTCTCCTATTTCTTTTTCTTTTTTTTTTCTTTTTTCCTCTATTATTTAGTTCTCGAATAAACTTTTCATTTATTACTTTTTTTTCTTCTTCTTTGTTTCTATCAGCCATCTTAATTTTTTTTTTTCTTATAAAGAAAAAAAAAAGATTAACAAAACATGTGTATCAATAATTTATTTCCTTTTGTCGTTAGTTTATCAATAAACGGCGGATATAATATGCAAAGCCATTTTTTTATTAGTTCAAACTTACACAAATGAATTTATTAGTTTAAGCCCGTAAATTAATTTAATTTTATTACATCAAGACTAAACATGACAAATATACCCTTATCAATAAATAATACTCAAATACAAACAAACTCTATTTTTAATTTGTTCAAGACCAAAAAATAAAATAAAAAAAAAGTAAAAAAAAAAAAAAACAAAAAAAAAATTGAGAAAAATATGGAAAAAACTCAATACTGCCGCCACCAGACCGCCGAGACACCGACAAGCGAGACTTCCACCGTACCGGCGACGACCAGCGACCCACCTACCGCACCACCTCCACCGCACCATCACCACCACCCCACCACCACCAACAAGTCATTTTTACTAAACTTTTGTTTGTCAATTCAAAAACATTAATCAAGCATCGATTCTTGATAAATATGCGTGGATGAACATTAATCTATGCTTACTTCTTGTAGGGTTGCAATGCGTTAACCGATTTTGGAAAAACAATTGAGATTGAAATTGATTTTTTTGTGTGTTTTCGTTGGTTTTCCAAATCGGTTTATCCATACCGATTTTGTACACGAAAATCGGCGTCACAATGCCGATTTTTGTTAATCAAATCGGCGACACAACGCCGACTTTACAAGTCAAAATCGGCGTTGTAATGCCGATTTTGTTTTGTTTTCTTTTTTTTTTCTTTTTTTTTTATGATTTATGTTATTCATTTGGTTTTGAATTTCATTAAGGGTAAATTAGTATATCTATGTTGGAGGTTTTGAACTAATAAAAAAATGGGGTAATATGCTAGGAGCCCCTCAAATAAAACTTAATTTGAACTAAATAACAAGTTCAAACCCAATTTTTTAATTAAATCCTTAATTTGAAACAATATATGATATACATCCTTAATTATTGTTTTATCCCTAAATTACCCTTATAACCTAAATCTTTTAATTTACATATTCATTTACTTTTTTTAATTAAATTTATTTCTATTATTTATTTTTCCCTCATTCTCTCTCTATCCCCTCCCTCTGTCGTCTCTTTCTTTATCTATTTTCCTCTCCCTCTCTCTCCATCGCAGCTTTCTTTCTCTCTCTGTTCTTTTTTTCTCTTTTTCTCTCCCTCTCTGTATCCCTCTGGACTAGTCTTTTGTTTGGAGAAGCAAACGGGGGCGGCGGCGGACGAGAAGGCGGCGGCGGAGTGGGCGGAACTGAATCTTAAGGCGGCGGCTACGGTGAATCTATGGTGAAGGCGCCGACGAAGTGGGTAGCGGTGGCGCGTCGGATCTATGGTGGCGGCGGTGGATCTGAAGCGGCAATGGAGTGCGTAGCGGAGGCGGCTTCGAGGGTGACGTGGCCCAGCGGCGGCGCTCGGAGTTCGAGAATGGTGTTGGTGGTGCGGTGATTCTGGAGTAGGTGATGGCAGCGTGGGTGGGGTGGGCGGTAACCTTAGAGGCGTGGATGGGGGTGGGTGACCTTTGGCGTCACGAATCTAGGGTTTGGTGGGTGGATCTAGGGTTTGGTGGTATGAATCCAAGATTTTTCGATTTGATGTCTATGGGTTACTATGGGTGTCTGACGGCTAGGGTTTAAAAGGAGAAGCTAGAGTTTCAAAATATGCTATCACAAATGTCTATGGATTACTACGGGTTACTACGGTTACTACGGATTACTACAGTTTTCTATGGATGTCTATACATGACTGAGACCGATTTTTTTTTTAAATTCATAATTTTCAATATTACGTAGAAAATAATGGAAAAAAATAGATTGCTGGGGTAAATTACAAACACCCCCCTGAGGTATGGTCAAATTACAAAAACCCCCCTCTTGTTTGGATAATTACATCTACCCCTCAACTATGATTCTTTCTTACACCTCCACCTCTATGGTGCCAAATTCAACATAATCATCTAGATTCCGTGAAATTTGCTCTAGTTTGTACTCATTTTGTGTAAAAATACAGTTTTCGATGTACCAAATTTATGAAGGATGTGAAGCAAATGTTTAGTTAGACTTGTCATTTAGTTCTAATAAGTTTTGTCACCAGAGACCTATATCCTAATACCCCTAAAAAAATAGGCTTGCATATATCTGCAGCCTGAATTAAATTGTCCACTTGTCGTGAGATTAAAAAGGTTTCACAGAATAAAATTACGATTTGTGCAGTATTTAAGCTAATGTCCCGGGAAAATTAGGAGCAATGCTTATGTTGATGCACCACCATCTTTCCGATTCCACTTGGCGCGCAAAAGCTGGGTTCTTTTCACAGTATCCTCCAAAACTCAGTCACTCATTCGATTCAACTTGGCCGCCGGCGAACGATCTCTCCCGCCTCTTACAGGGCCGCATCCCACGCGCTCACCTCCTCCAACTCCACGCTCGCATTTTCCGCCTCAATGAGCAATCTGATTGCCACTCGTCTCATCGGCCACTACCATTCGAATTTCGCCGTCAGGGTCTTCCGTTTACCGCGGCAACCTAATATCTTCCCTTTCAACGCAATCATCAGAGTACTGGCCCAACGAGTTGACGTTTTCTTTTCTCCTCAAGGCGTGCTCCAGAGATGGCGGCGTCGGTGTGGATTGTGTGCGCCAAGTGCACTTCCATGTCCTGAAATCGGCTTTCGTGTCTGATTCTTTCGTTTGCAATGGATATGCAAAACTCGGATCATCCGAAGACGCCCTCAATTTATTTACGACGATGCTCGACAAAAATCTGCTGCCTGAAAGTGATACCATGGGTAGTGTTTTATCTGCGTGTTTTGTGATCTTTTGCTAATGAATGAAGGTAATGATATGTAGAGATGTTCGGACACGAGAAGTGGGAAAAAACATGTACTATCATCATCCAACGTAAATCTCGCATCTGCGTTGATAGATATGTACTCGAAATGCGGGAATTTGGATGCTGCGAGAGAAGTTTTCGCCGAGAACTTTCCTCGGTGCCTTATCTGCGAGTAGTCACTCGGGGCTATTAGATAAAGGGTGTGAAATTTTCGACGAAATGAATCGAAAAGATTCTCTAATTTCGCCCAAGTTGGAGCATTATTCGTGCTATATCGATCTTTTAGCTCGGTCGGGTTATATATGCAGCGAATTAATATTCTACTTAACAAAATCAGGACATCCACCACAATATAAAGCCAGAACAAGTTCAGCTTGTTCGCCGCGATTACACTGCAAATGAGGGCTGGGAAACGTTTCTTTCGTATGAAGACACACACCAGGTGTGTTTTTTTACATACTTATTTCTTCCTCCACTTATTACCTCTGCCTTTTGCACTGATGTAGTAAAAGAGAACTGCGAATTAAACTCATGGAAATAAATAAAATCATTGAATGGGGTGGCATATTAGACTTGACCTCCGTTTATAAGTGATTTCATTTGTTATATTTTTTATGTGCTCTACTTCGTTTACAGGACATATTTGTTTAGCGCTCTAATCGAATTGTTGGATGAATATATTTAGATTTATATATGAAATGAACATATAATTATTTCATGATTTTTGCTTGGGCTAAATTTTATTTTCATCATTGTACTTTGGCGCGGGATCACTTTACCATGTTCTACTCGATCATATCGATTTACCCTTGAATTTGTAAAATTTTTCAAATGTGGCTCCGACTTTAGTTTACGGCTTTCAACCGGAACACTGAAAGTGTTTGGTCAAGCTGTAGAAATTACCAAATGCCCGCCCGTCTCCTATTTCAATTATCTTTCATTCGGCCCCACTCAACTCATTCCCCTCTGGCATCAAATCCCCAAAGTCGAAGCCTAAGCCCTAACAAAAACACTCATCAATTCGATTTTTGTTACACAAAAAAAAAAATAAATAAATAAAAATTCGATTTTTGTTACTGCGTAGTTTAGAGTTACAATGCTGGTGCTCAACGTGTCTATTTTCCTGTCGATTTTGTCATGCCATTGACCTTTTTAATTAACTTGGATGGAAAAACACACACACACACGTGCATGGCACATGATAGTGATTTCACTCAGTTAAAATAATATGTTTGCCCTAATTACACATTCATTCATTCCCTTATTTTTTCAGAAATTATTGGTAGTTTCAAGATATATATATATATATATATATATATATATATATATATATATATATATATATATATATATATATATATATATATATATATATATATATATATTAAACAATAAAACAGATGCAATCAAGAAAAAAACAAATTCTTGATTAATTTCAAACATAATTGCTTACAGTAGAGACCGGAAATAATGGTCGAAAAAAAATATCAAGCTGCATTGAATAATTGATCCGAATCGAAAATTAAGAACTAGAACTAATTTCTCCAAACTCCATCCGATATCAAGCTTCTTTGTCTTTTCCTTTTAGTTTTCCTTTGGAAACATCCTAGTGATTCTACAAATTGCGTAATCTTTAAACTTCAACTCAAAATTCAACCAAACCCCGGCCAATGAAAACTCTTGCATAATCCAGTGACCGTGTTCTTCTTCTTCTTCGCCGCTCCGGCCTTTAGGTTTATTCTTGTAAAAGGTGAACATCTTGGACAAGCCGATTAAATTTCCCGATGACTCATCGTAAATTTCTTTGCCACTCGTTTGTCCCTTCCAAGTACCCGATTTTGTTCTTCTTGCGATACGAGTCTTACCATTAACTCGTAATAACTTGGTAAGAACGTACGTGACGTGCTTGAATTTCGTTTCGGAATGAAAATCTTCCCAATGAACGTCTTGAAGAACTTCCCATGGATCTGCTGTTTCGCCGTAAATCTCTTTTTCCGACATCCAATTCCATGGCAGTGGAATCCCCATTGATACTTTCAACAGGTAGCAATTAATCAGCTCTTCGTCCGACGGTACAACACCTGGAGCAATCCTCATTCTTCTCTCCCGTTCTTAATTCTCTCTCTTTCTCTCTCTCGTTGTTCTTCTCTCTCTTTCGGTCTCCTTTTTATCTTTCTCTCTCTCGTATTTTGTTTATTTATACAGGAACGGAATATGTATACATATAATATCTAGGGCAAATGGCAAAAAGGCCGATCACATCTTAAATACATTTTGGTCCACAGAAAAAACAGTCTCTCAATTAAGCCCATCCCCATGTCTTTAGTCTAAAATACCCTCAATAATATAATTCTTATCAATTCCACCAATTATGCTCTAACTTCCTTAATATTACACATTGACCCCAGATTTAACAAATATATCACATTAACCCCCAAAACTTTTTTATATCAGAAAATAATTTTTTTTCTGAAATATTTTTTTTGTTGCCAGATTCCGGCGTTGATCGCCGGAGACCGCCGGTGTCCGGCGTTGACTTTTTTTTTTTTTTTTGAATTTTTTTTTCTTAGAAGAAAAAAATATTTTAATTAATATTACTGTTTTAGCTACTAAATTACTGTCTCAGACAGTAATACTACTGTTTGGGACAGTAATATTATGAATATTATTTTTCCGAACAGTAATATTATGAATATTATTTTTCCGAACAGTAATATTATTAACATTATTTTTCCGAACAGTAATATTATTAATATTATTGTGTAAGACAGTTAAATTACTGTTGAAGACAGTAATTTAGCATCTAAGGCAGTACTATTAATTAAAATATTTTTTTTTAAGAAAAAAAATGAAAAAAAAGTCAAGTAACAGTTAAATTACTGTCTCCGACAGTTAAATAACTGCTGGAGACAGTAATTTAGCAAACGAATACAGTAAAATTAATTAAAAAAATTTTTTTTTAAGAATAAAAAAGTCAATTAACAGTTAAATCACTGTCTCCAACAGTTAAATAACTGCTGGAGACAGTAATTTAGCAACGGATACAGTAATATTAATTAAAATATTTTTGAAGAAAAAAAAAAGTCAATTAACAGCTAAATTACTGTCTCCGGCAGTTAAATAACTGCCGGAGACAGTAATTTAGCAGCCAAAACAGTAATATTAATTAAACAAAAAAATTTAAGAAAAAAAAAATTATAAAAAAAAGTCAACGCCGGAGACCGGCGGTCAACGGCGGAATCTGGCAGGAAAAAAAAAACATTTCAGAAAAAAAAAATTCTGAAAAAAAAAAAAATTGGGGGGTTAATGTGATATATTTGTTTAAATCCGGGGTCAATGTGTAATATTAAGGAAGTTAGAGCATAATGGGTGGAATTGATAAGAATTAGGATTAAAATTGGGGTCAAAATTGAAATTAGGGTTAAAATTGGTTAATTGATGAAATTGGGATAAATTGGGGTGTAAATCATGAAATTGGAGTTGAATTGGGTTTCAATGAATTGGGGGTAATTTTGGTATATATAAAAGGATTTTCCTTATTTGCAAATAAGTTTGAATGGGGTGGATTTATTTGAAAGACAAAAAAATTGGATGTCCCTCTTTTAATTAAGTGTCCTTGTCATGGGCCTATTTGTAATTACCCCTAATATCTATATATATATTATTATGTTACTCCGTGAATAACTCAAACAAACAAAAAAATCCAAACAAATTAATAATATTGTTGTGGTTGACAACAATATTACTATAACAACAGTAATATTACCGTCAACCACAGTAATATTACAATAATAGACAGTAATATTATTACGTTACTCCGTTAATAACTCAAACAAAATAAAACACCCAAAAAATTAATAATATTGATGTTGGTGAGAGTAATATTATTGTGTTTACAGTTATTTTACTGTCAATGACAGTAATATAATTACACTGACTTGTCAACAAATCAAACAAAATAAAAAAAAATAGCAAAAAATAAAAAAATAATAATATTACGTAAATTTACTGTCAACGGCAGAACAGTTACATAAATGTATTGTCAACGACTGTACAATTACGTTAATTAACTGTCATTGAACGTATAATTACGTTAATTTACTGTCAGTGACAGTACAATTACGGTCAACGTTTAGCGGCAGACGTAAAAAAAAAAAAAAAAAAAAAAAACTTAAAAAAACACTAAAAAAAATCAACGCCGGAAACCGGCGAAAAAATCCAGAAGAAAAGAAAAGAAAGAAAGAAAAAAGAAAAAAAAAATCGAAAAGTCAACGCCGATGACCGGCGGCAAAAAATATTTTTGAAAAAAAAAAATTGAAAAAAAAAGGTCAAAATCGGATTTTTGTGGTCAAATTTGGATTTTTATGAACAAAATTAATTAAATTGGGATTACAGTTAAGAATTTGGTATAAAAGGTTGGGGGTAATATTGGCATATACATGAATGTTTCCTTTATTTATAATAAACTAGTAACCATGCCCGTGCGTTGCACGAGAACCACTACAAAAGAGAAGAAAATAATTATTTTATTTAAAATTGTATATATGTAATATAAGATTCATATGTTCAAAAGCACGGATCGTCTGATTGCCATTTCAATTTCATTAATAAGTCCTTCGGGGAGAAGAAAACAGCTCATCACGTAAGTCGGGATAGCCTGTAGGACTGCTTTGATCAAAACTTCCTTGCCCGCTTGGACAGTTGTTTCTCCCCCCAACCCTTGATCTTCAACTACACGGTCTCGTAAATAGGCAAATATCTCTGTTTTGGTTTTTTTCCAATGGACGCTGGCATCCCCAAATATTTGTCATGATGGTCCACAATTCGGAAGCCTAGGATTTGGTTAATGGCATTTCTCCGCGACAGCTGGGTAGTCGGACTAAAAGTCATCGTAGATTTCTCATGATTAATCTCCTGCCCGGAAACTCTGGCATACTTGACGATAATTTCTTTCAAAACAACAACATATTCCTCAGTAGCATGCCCGAAAATAAGAGTGTCGTCGGCAAAGCACAAGCTAGACACCATCGGAGTTATTTTGGGAGACACAGACGCCTTGGAATTCTCCTCTAACAGTGGCATTTGCAATCATTGCAATAAGAGCCTCAGCACAGTAGATAAACAGGTACGAGGAGAGGGGGTTGCCCTGCCGAAGCCCTCTCGAGGGAATGACACCGCCAAACTGCGTACCATTAAATAAAAACGAAAATGAGAGCATCAGCACAACATAATAAGATCAATAAAGCGAGAGGGGATTCCAAAACAAGAAAGAATATTTTGCAGAAAAAGCCATTCAATCCGATCGTATGCCTTACTAATGTCCAATTTAATAGCCATGTAATTAGTTTTAATATTAGAGCTCAATTTAATGAAATGATTGATCTCAAAAGCAACGAAAACGTTATTAGAAATTAAACGTTTTGGAACGAAGGCAGACTGAGTAGGGGAGATCAAGTCATTTAAGACCAATTTCAGACAATTGGCTCCCACTTTCGACCCAAATTTATAAATAACGTTGCAAAGGCTTATAGGTCGATAATCAGTGATTTTTTCCGGGTTTTTCACCTTCGGGATTAAAACAATAAAAGTGGAATTAAGGTCTGGGGGAAGTTTGCAGTGATTAAAGAATTCAAGCACACAAGAAAGAACATCGGACCCTAACAAATGCCAATATTTAGTGAAAAAAACAACGGGTAAACTATTCGGGCCCGGGGATTTAAGAGGAGCCATTTGAGAAATGGCTGGGGTTACCTCATCCGAAGTAAAAGGCTTTGACAGAGGTTGACTAGCTTCCCTGGAAATTCTGGTCTCGACACTCGCCAACACCTCATCTATTTCATCCTCTCTCGGATTTGTGGACTTGAAGATGTGCTCGAAATAATTAGAAATAATATTCTCAATGTCCTCATCTTTCTCTTTCCAAATTCCCTCTGTATCTTTAAGACGATCCATTCGGTTTGTACGCTCCTGATAGTGGCCTTGGAGTGAAAAAACCTCGTATTCATGTCCCCTTCTTGAATCCATTGCACTCAACTGCGTTGGTGCCAGTACTTGTCATCGTCTCCATAAGCTTGTTCCAACTCAACTCTCACAGCCCGGATTTCTTCCCTTCGAGCAACTGTTTGTTCGGCCAATAGGAGAGATTGGAGTCGTTTGTGAAGACTTTTAATCTTCTTTCTCGGCTGCTATAGACTTCAATAACCATTTTTATTCCTTTATTTCATTTAATTATTTTTTTAATTTTATTTAAAAGAAATCTTCTAGCACATAAATTCATGGCTACATATTGAAAAAAACACTGATTTCCGTCAATTTTGATTGGAGATTTTGCGATTTTGGAACAACTTTTCATTCTAAATTCCGATCATTATGATATCTGATTTTTACCAATAAGTCCACACATGGTCTAGATTTTTGTAAAAGACTAGAATAGCCCCTCATACTTTAATATGCTCCAATTTCATCCCAATTTGACCATAATTTGACCCCAAATTTCACGAATTATTCAATTATTCAATAATTTATTTCCTTTTGTTGTTAGTTTATCAATAATCTTGAACCTAAATTTACAACCATAGTAAGTTATATAGTTAAATAGATTTAAGAATTTCGCGCTCAGGGTCTTCTGTTTACCGCGGCAACCTAATATCTTCCCTTTCAACGCAATCATGTTCTGGCTAGTAGACATTGAACGAATTCTGAAGGTTCCTGTATGGTTGAGACATGCAAAGGAGACATGGATTTGGCACCATTCGAAAAATGGCAAGTTTACGATGAAATCATGCTATCATATGATTCTCGCATCTATATCGTCGACAGGCAATCTGCAAAAAGAATTGGATGGCTCGTCTAGTGGCGAGGGGAACCGTGAGTGGCAAGGTGTTTGGGCACTTCCACTCCCACCGAAAATTTGTACTTTTTTATGGCGTCTCTTTAGCAATATTATTCCTACCAATGCTGAGCTTTTTAGACGAAAGGTTATTACTTCTCCTATGTGCTGCCGCTGCAATAAAGACGTAGAAACTACCACGCATGTCCTGTTTGAATGTCGATGTGCGTAGGAAATCTGGAAGACCCTTTTACTCGACCGCGATTTCAGAGTTCAAAGGTCGTCTATATCGAGTTGGCTGGCAAATTTGAGGAAGGAGCTGAGCGGTGATATTTTTTCGTTGGCAATAGTTCTAATCTGGAAGATATGGGAACGACGGAATAAGAAAATTAAGAGAGAGAAGGTGATGCAACCTCAAGATCTTGTGGGCTGGTGCAAGGATTACTTGGCTATGTTTCGAAACTCGCAGCTTTGTCGCAATTCCAGAATGGGACATATGCATCCAAGCGAATGGATACCACCTTCACACGGAGTAATCAAAGTCAATTTTGATGCCGCCCTACCACGTGGACAAGCTGGATTCTCCGTTGCGGCAGTGGCGAGGAATGATGCAGGTCAGTGTTTATGTTGGAAACTGGAAAAGATGCAGGGCAATTATAGCCGGTGGAGTGCGAAGCGATGGTTGCGCTCAAAGCGATAACAATGGCAGAAGAAAAGAGATGGTCTAACATAATTATTTAGGGTGAGTGCCTCAAGTTATCACAAATTTACGAGATGGAGACAGTGAATCGTCTTCTTTTGGAACATTATTGGAAGACTGTCTTCGATTTGCTCAAGATTTTAATCAGTGTTCATTTAGTTTTATCAAACGTTTAGGAAATAAGTTAGCTCATGCTATATGTTCTTCCTTCTAATTTGGCATCATTAGCCTAATAAAGTTCATTTTTCCGTCCAAAAAAAAAAATATACTAATAATTAATATTTTATTTATGCTCTCCCTAGTCTCCGCTACATAATTTTTAGGATCTTTCTAGGATGAGATACCCCATGTTCTAAACTTTTATGAGATATGCATTAATCACTATTAATTTTCTAAGATTAAATCTGGACCCTAGGAAAATAACATGGCTTATGTTCTAAAAAATGAAGTACTTTACCAAATTATCCTTCGATTATTTTTTTATTAAATTAATATAAAATTGATTAACATTGAATTGTCTAATTTACCCCCTACTATATTTTAATTTCAAAAACTTCAAAAAATTCGAGTTAAATCCAATGTAAAACGAACCCATCAAAATAATGTGCACCACCATCTTTCCCGTTCCACTTGGCGCGCAAAAGCTGGGTTCTTTTCACATGGGCTGCATCCCACGCGCTCACCTCCTCCAACTCCACGCTCGCATTTTCCGCCTCAATGCGCACCAGAGCAATCTCATCGCCACTCGTCTCATCGGCCACTACCATTCGAATTTCGCGTTCAGGGTCTTCCGTTTACTGCGCCAACCTAATATCTTCCCTTTCAACGCAATCATCAGGATCGGCTTTTCGTGTCTGATTCTTTTGTTTGCAATGGCTTGCTTATGGTTTATGCCAAGGTGGTTAAGGATTTGAGGTCAGCACGCCAGGTGTTTGATAATTTGCCTGATAGAAATTTGGTTTTTTGCTGGACTTGTTTGATTTCTGGATATGCTAAACTCGGATCATCCGAAGAGGGCGCCCTCAATTTATTTACAAATTACGATGATGCTTGACGAAAATCTGATGCCTGAAAGTGATACCATGGTTAGTGTTTTATCCGCGTGTTCGAGCCTTACTCCACCACACCTTGACAAATGGGTGAAACTAACGACACATATGCTAAAAGAATGCAGCAATTTAGCTTCTGATTATGTTAATATTGTACTCGTTTATTAATACGGAAAATGCCGAAAGGTGGAGCAGAGTAGGGTGAATTTCGATCAAATTTCTGACAAAGGTAAAAGAAGCATTCTTTCTTGGAATACTATGATAGGTACTTACGTTCAAAACGGCTGCGCTTTAGAGGCTTTGACTGTTTTCAAATCGATGATGGAGAACTACGATTGTTGTCCTAACCACGTCACTATGGTCAGCATCCTCTCAGTGTGTGCTGAAATCGAAGACTTAGACATCGGAATTTGGGTTCACAACTACATGCGAACAAGTGGGAAAAAACATGTACTATCATCCAACGTAAATCTCGCAACTACATTGATAGATATGTACTCGAAATGCGGGAATTTGGATGCTGCGAGAGAAGTTTTCGCCGAGATAGTCGAAAAGGACGTGGTTTCATTCAATGCCATGATCGTAGGTCTTGCTGTAAACGGCAAAGGAGATGAAGCTTTGAGACTCTTCTCCGAAATGCAAGAGCTTTGTCTGCTTCTTCCAGATTCCGGAACTTTCCTCGGTGCCTTATCTGCGTGTACTCACTCGGGGCTATTAGATAAAGGGCGTGAAATTTTCGACGAAATGTCTCTTTTGCTAATGAATTTCGCCCAAGTTGGAGCATTATTCGTGCTATATCGATCTTTTAGCTCGGTCGGGTTATATATGCAGCGAATTAATATTCTACTTAACAAAATCAGGACATCCACCACAATATAAAGCCAGAACAAGTTCAGCTTGTTCGCCGCGATTACACTGCAAATGAGACTGCAAATGAAGACACACACCAGGTGTGTTTTTTTACATCTTTATTTCTTCCTCCACTTATTACCTCTGCCTTTTGCACTGATGTAGTAAAAGAGAACTGCGAATTAAACTCATGGAAATAAATAAAATCAGAATGGGGTGGCATATTAGACTTGACCTCCGTTTATATTATTATATTTTTTATGTGCTCTACTTCGTTTACATGACATATTTGTTTAGCGCTCTAATCGAATTGTTGGATGAATATATTTAGATTTATATATGAAATGAACATATAATTATTTCCTGATTTTTGCTTGGGCTAAATTTTATTTTCATCATTGTGCTTTGGGGCGGGATCACTTTACCATGTTCTACTCGATCATATCGATTTACCCTTGAATTTGTAAAATTTTTCGAATGTGGCTCCGACTTTAGTTTACGGCTTTCAACCGGAACACTGAAAGTGTTTGGTCAAGCTGTAGAAATTACCAAATGCCCGCCCGTCTCCTATTTCAATTATCTTTCATTCGGGCCCCACTCAACTCATTCCCCTCTGTCATCAAATCCCCAAAGTCGAAGCCTAAGCCCTAACAAAAACACTCAACAATTCGATTTTTGTTACTCAAAAAAAAAAAAAAAAAACAATAAATTCGATTTTTGTTACTGTGTAATTTAGAGTTACAATGCTGGTGCTCAACGTGGCTATTTTCCTGTCGATTTTGTCATGCCATTAACCTTTTTAATTAACTTGGATGGAAAAACACACACACACACGCATGGCACATGATAGTGATTTCACCCCTTCTCATTTA